ATTTCTTTGCAATTTACTTGTCCTTAAAACTAGTGTTTTTTCTCTGGACGCAGATTAATTCTGACAATTACCATAAAAGCTATGAGCATACTCGATCCTGGAAATCTGTTGTACGGAACGATTATTATTTGGTCAGCCAAATATCTTCAGTTTATATTAAAGTTGATGAAAAACCCAACCAAAACTTGTTCATATTTAGAGCTCAGTTGGCAAGAGGACAGCTTAGAGTTAGTGGAAGTATGTTGCCATCTGCTAGTAATATGAATCGTTTGGTTTGTTGATAAGCTTTCATTGCGTTTATCTATGACAACTGGATCGCTGCAAATTGTAAAATTGCAGGTATGGTCTTGTGCTTTGGAAATGGAGGTTCACGATTACCTAGCCAAATGTCCTACAGAGGGATATAAAGAACCAGCTTGCTTGAGTCCAGCAGATAATTTCTATCGCGGTGCCATCACTAGCGATTTATCTACATTCAAAGAAATGACCATAAAAGTAAGCCGCTGATGGATTGCCGTAAATATTGTTCATGCTTTCAGACAATCAGGATATGGTGGGATGTTTATCAAAATTACCCTAATCCCGGTCCAAGTGCAGTCTTTAACGAATCACTCGTTGGCACTCCCATAGAGTCATATACACGAGTAAGCCTTGAACATTCGTCAAATTCGTGTCAGCGTTGTAGTCTGAGAAGTTTCGATGGTTGCTCATTTTAAGATGGGTTGGGCTCAAACTCGAGAGATTGGCTGCTCCATTGCTAAATGTGGTGATGAATACGTACTATCATGCCGTTACCGGCCAAGGTAAGCACTAACAAAGTCCTTTTTTCAAGCACATAAATTTTCGCGGTTTAGTGGAAACATTGTCAATAATCCAATGTACAATGTTGGCCTCGTATGCTCCGAGTGTTACATTTTTGGAGCTGGATCATGTGGATCCGGTGGACTCTGTGGTTAAGCACACAGGATCAAGGTCGATCAGAAAACTTTGTTGTGACCAGATGATAGTACTCAATTTTTCTAACGCTTATGAAATGGAGATTTCTAGCTCAGCTTATTGTGTCTATAATAAGATTTCCCACATAGCCACAGTTTTGCGAAAGTATTTTATTTTTCCAGTAAATACAGGTATACATTTGTTCAGCTCAAATTGTCAAGAGTTTTCGAGGAGCGGAAAAGATAAGAAATGTAATTTTTGAACAACAGTAGGTAATTTCGGGAATTTTCTCGCAGACTTCGAGCTTTTGTTCAAGAATGTCATTTGTCAGTGTTCCAAGATTACGTTTATTGATAAGGTGACTTTGAAATATAAACTACGATACAAATTAGAAAATAGAAATAATTTATCAAAAGTATCTTAATACGGAAACTACAAAGCCAAAACCAGAGCAGTGCGCAGATACGCTTTCCGTTTTCACTTAACTTCCTCTTTCTCACAATCAGGTTTCGCGCATGTCTAGGGTAAAACAGTTCATATAGAATGTATAAAAAGCTGCGTTATGAATTTCATACCATAATGTTATCAATGTTATGCGGATGAAAGGATTTTAACAGCGATAATCTTGCCAGCTTTCTCGCTCACACCAAATAAATAGTACAATATGTTGAAAGTACCAAGCAATCAGAAAGACAGCGCGAACATGGATTTTTAAACGTGCAATCACAAATGCCGAAGACTGCAGGTTTGATTCGAATATCTTTGACATAGCCACAACACTTGTTCATATATTCTTTCGTTTTGGAGTCAAATGACCGCAAGCGTTCGGGCAAGGCCCGGATATTTCGCTCAAAGAAAGCACAACTTTTATTCGCACCAAGAAAGCACAAACATTCAATGCAAAACCGCGGATACTAAAAAACTTACTAAAATACTTTTTCTCTCAAAATTTCCTCATAAGCTTAAACAATGGTAAATGAAGGGATAGCGCGTATAACTTGGAAGCAACAGAAAAAAGTGCGTTTTCGTACTAAAAACATACGTAAAAATTTCCTCATTGTGACGGCAGTGCTCCTCGTTCTTGCTTACCCTAATTTCACGAGCATAGGACGCGGGAAATTTTCTTCTAAAATCGAAAAGCACAGACCCGCCGAAGGACTTCGCAAGCAAGCTCAGACAGCGGATAGGACCCCTCCGCCGGAGAAATGGCAGGGCCGCGGCGTTTCCCCAGCGGTGGGTCTGCCACTCGTCCGCCGGAGCCCTCCCATTTCTGCTCCGGAGACCTCCCATTTCTGCTCCGGAGACCTCCCATTCTCTGCTCCGGATACCTCCCATTTTCTGCTCCGGAGACCTCCCATTTTCTGCTCCGGATACCTCCCATTTTCTGCTCCGGATACCTCCCATTTGCTGCTCCGGATACCTCCCATTTTCTGCTCCGGATACCTCCCATTTTCTGCTCCGGATACCTCCCATTTTCTGCTCCGGATACCTCCCATTTTCTGCTCCGGATACCTCCCATTTTCTGCTCCGGAGACCACCCATTTTCTGCTCCGGAGACCTCCCATTTTCTGCTCCGGATACCTCCTACTTTCTGCTCCGGATACCTCCCATTTTCTGCTCCGGAGACCACCCATTTTCTGCTCCGGAGACCTCCCATTTTCTGCTTCGGATACCTCCCATTTTCTGCTCCGGAGACCTCCCATTTTCTGCTCCGGATACCTCCCATTTTCTGCTCCGGATACCTCCCATTTTTTGCTCCGAATACCTCCCATTTTCTGCTCCGGATACCTCCCATTTTCTGCTCCGGATACCTCCCATTTTCTGCTCCGGATACCTCCCATTTTCTGCTCCGGAGACCTCCCATTTTCTGCTCCGGATGCCTCCCATTTTCTGCGGCGCGGCTCTTCCAAATCTGGCGGACTCGCGCCGGGCAAATTTCTCCGGCGCGAGTCCGCCAAATCTGGCAGAGTCGCGCCGGAGAAATGGCGTACCTTTGCAGCAGGGCCGGAGAAGCGTCCCATTTGCCTGCCAGTGATGTCACCGCGACGGACCGCCCATTTGCCCCGCTCTCATTGGTCAACTGGGTCCGGCGCGACTCTGGCAGATTCGGACTGTCCGGCGGAGGGGTCCGGTCGATTGTCTGAGAGGAGTTATATACACTTCTGCATATTGCCTGAGAGTATCGTGCGGCATAAAGTTCATTTTTTGATATACAGCGAGGCGGCTGAGCGGCTCGCTTGAAAAATCGAAGAAGTCCCATACTTGTGAAATTTGGGTATAAATGGGTTTCTCAAATCAAAAATGAGTTCAGTAAAATGCAAATATATTGAGGTTGAAACTTGAGCGAAGAGGCACGCGAAAATGCTTTTTTATCTCGTTGTAGGGTAATTTTTGCTTCGGCGACGTTATAAAAACATCCAGTCTATTATGTTGATTAGAATGATATACCATATTGCAGGTTTTGTTAGGAAGGAAAGGGTGGTTAGTTGAAGCAACCGTCTAAGATGAGATTATAACATTTTGGAGGGCATAAAGCATAAAACGCTAAGTACATATCTGCCTTCCGTATCGGCGAAACATTCCTAGAAGGAGTTAGCGTTTTTCAAAGCAAAAATTTAATCGAAAAATGGATAAAATCACCTGGTTAAAATCGCTCATAAACTTTTTCTTACAAGAAATGGATACCAATGAGTTGTCAAACCAAAAAGAGATGTTTATCAACAGACCATCTTCAAACGCTGATCCCGAGTCTGCTTTCTTTTTCTATGAAACGACTATTCAAAAGAAGCTATGAGCGTTTGAATGTCCATTGTCAAGTTCTAAGTGGCAAAAATAAACGAAAAGCTGCTCAAAGACAACTGAAAGTGGGAAATTTAATCTTGTATCGAGTGTACTAACTATAAGGAAGGAATACAGACCTGAATCCGCATAAGTGTTTTCGTAGAGCTTTTCGCCGATTTCATGCTACTTACTTGACAAATTTGACTTTCAAACGCTCATAACATTTTTTTGAGTTATTCCACAGAAACAGAAGGCAAACTTGGAATTAGCATCTTAAGGCGTCTACTAATCTGCATTTTTTGGTTTGCCAAATCATGTTGGTATTCTTCCTTTATTAAACCTTAAATGTAGCAGTTATCATCCACCCCGTGCAATAAGGTCTTAGTTCAAATATAGGCTCGCTCACCCCCTCGACGACTGGTTTCCTCCTAGTTTTTCTTTTAGTTGCTCAATCAAATTTTCGCACCGCAATCTTTCACATGAACTCGCTCATTCTTCCAGTTGCAAATTCTCGCACCGCAAGCAGGGCTCGGCACAGGTGGCTTGCCGGGCAAGCTGGATGTCGTTTTGGAGGTAAAGCCAAAGAGGATATCGTTTTTGCGGAAGTGCATACTCCTGTCTTTCAATCCGCAGCCGGCCGCAGCATGGTCCCAAACAAACAAAGGGCTTGTTTACAGCGAAGAAGTAACCATATGACACCAAAATTGGTGTGTAGATGGGAGTATGTAACTATGTGCAAAAAATTACGAAAAACTTATGTGAACTAAACTCCCGGCAAACTTTTTTAGGAGTTAGATGGCTTTACAGCCACCTGGACAGCCACCTGAGGTGACTGTAAAAAGAAAAAGTCACAAATTTCGCCGGCTTCACATAATTTTTCAAAACTTTTTACATAAGTTTACTCTTCATCCTGTTACCCATCTATCCGTCCTTGAATGGCTCCAAACCCCCTCCTCTTCGTCTAACTACAAGCCCTCAAATTTTTTTGAGCGCTATTTCGCAGGCTGCTCCAGCGCAAAAAAGTGCGCCAGCGACACACACACACACACACACACACACACACACACACACACACACACACACACACACACACACACACACACACACACACACACACACACACACGCACACATACACATACACACATACACACACACACACACACACACACACACACACACATGCACACACACTATTCATCGTTTCGATGTTTCGTTTTGTTTCGTTTCGTCTTTCCTTTTCATGTTCGTGTTGGTTTTCTGAATGATGCCGATTTAGATGCCATGGGCTCTCCGTTACCAAAAGGTTCAACGAGGGAATGCTTTCGTACACATGAAGAAGTCGAAGTTCCGCCGATGAATGCTGGCTCGATTGGTGATGTGCAGCACATGTTTGTTAAGGACATGGATAATGTTAGGCGGCTTCATAATTACATAATAGTGCTGATGGATTTGTTTTCAGCTTAAACAACTGGGATTACAAGGGTTTGAGAAACTTAATGTAATCCAGAATATTGTTTTTGAGCAGGCATACAAAACCAAACAGAACTTGTTGATTTCTGCACCTACTGGCGCCGGTGAGTATGGCAACACTGCAAGTTTTAAAGCATTTCATGACATAAAAGCATGCATCAGCCACTTTATGGCACTGTTTCCTCAATGTTCCTTTAGGCAAAACGAGCATTGCCATAGTCGCGATTTTCAATACTAATCTTGAGCATAGGATGTTGAATGGAGAAAGTGGAGCTGTGGAAAAAAGATGGAGCAATGAGAGAGAAATGGAGCTGTCAGAAACTCAGGTGAGTTTCGATTTCTACCTATGTTTCCTTGTGAAAATCTCTCCACATTTATAGATGTTGGTGCTTACTCCAGAAAAATGGGATGTGGTTACTAGAAAAGGCGTTAGTGACAATTCTCTGAAATCTTTAGTAAAATTACTGATTATCGATGAGGCAAGTGACCAGTGAGATCCTCATCGCCTCATTTGTATAGCATATATACATTGTAGGTCCATTTAATGCATAAAGATCGTGGTCCGGTTATCAAAACTATAGTTGCTCGAACATTGAGACAGGTAAGCTGAGCTGATGACACAAAAACTTTTAACACATTAACGACAATGTGATCCACCTGGTGGGTCATGCAATGACTGTGGTTTCAGAAGTTCTGTTATGCTTTATTCCTAGGAATTACTTCCGCGTTTCTCAGCTGCTTCTCAAAATCACTGTGGGGACACTGCAGATGACGGTCTGCTTGATTTCAGCTAACAATACTCAACTTATTGTAGAAGAAATTATCCCACAAGTCAGACAGCAGAAAATGCACGCTGTCGTCAACGTGTTTTTGTGGTCCAACACTTCCTTATCTAGGTCGAAATGTCACAGACAGGTACATGCATAGTAGGTCTATCAGCTACATTACCTAATTATGTTGATGTGGCTCGATTCTTACGTGTCAGTCCCTACAAGGGTTTGCTCTACTTCGATGGACGATTTCGGCCTGTGCCACTCACGTAAAAGTGGGTTCTTTGCTTTGGATTTTCTTCTGTCTTTGCTGGTATATCGTGTTTATTACATCATCTACTTTCGCATCTAAAGTGTTCACAGTCGTAGTAAATTTTAAAGGTTTATCGCGTTAAGGAAGTTGGTGGTGTTCGACATGCACAAGAAACGATGAACGACGTTTGCTACGATGAAGTTTTGAGCCATGTGAAGAAAGGTCATCAGGTTTTGGTAAGTGAAATCTCTTCCTTGGAGCACCAAAATTTGCAAACTTCAGGTGCTGTTTGATGATGACTCCTTTTAACTTGTTTTTTTCCTTTCTTTCTTTTTTCTCGGTGACATGTTTCCTCCTCGCGCAAACTACGCGCGATTTTATCGTCGCGATTCAACACGCTAAGACAAATGTACTAATGTCATTACATGCCGATATTTTTGCAGTTCGGTTGTGATAGTTTTCCACCACGATTAATCGAGACTAACTATCACAACCGAAATACAAGACGATCGGCATGCAGTGATCTCCACTTTGAATGAATCGCGACGATGAAATCGCGTGAATTTTGGAGGCCTCACGATAGCATTTTCATTCACAGTGGAAAAAAGCTACAGCTACAGATCTGTGAGAATGATATTTTGCAAACTCTCCTTTGTCCTAATTCACGATGATGATGGAGTGCTTGAATCAAGTAACTGATAGTTTACTTCATATCTTTCTTTTGTATTGTGTATGCGTAATCTCTGCTGATCATTCTAGCGCACTACTTTGTATGGCTGTTTAATAGAGAAAAAGAGTTTCGCGTTGCTTGCCGCGTCCACCTTGCGCATCATCTTTTCGCATCGGGCAGTGTTTGTGCAGATTTCTTACTTTGGATTCCTAACACTCTCATATGTATTGTAGATTCGTTGATCGCACGGACTGCTCAGACGCTGCGGACCACGCGCGTCGCGGCTTAATCGTCGCGGGAGCACGACCTGTACAATGGCAAATTTGTACCAAGGCAAGCAGCTTGCCTCGCGGCGAGTGCTCCGTAGAGGTCCAGTCCATGCGGTCCACGAATCAACTATAAGCTAATGCATCCACTGCAAAACGCGAAATCTCAAATCGAGAAGGTCTATGCAGTTTCCTTGCAGCCATATTCAACCGCGATTCATTGTTAGATTATTGGGAATTGCTGCGTTAAGATGAGAATGGATGGTTAAATCTACATTCTGCCCCTACACCAATCGTGATGTCCTTAGCAACAGAAACAAACTTTGAAACTGTCCGAAACATTGCCATCCTGATGAAATGCAACCATGATGAGAACATGCCTTTTTATAGTTTTAAATAGGATATGTTAGATATCGATTCCGAAAACTGAGCACTCCCTTCTGGGATTTGAAGACACCCCATTGCATCAAAAATTTGGATTTTCTGAATTTTCAATCAAGTTTATTCGACTCTAGACGTGCATCGCTTTTTTGCTTTTACTTAAGAACACTTTTTCAGCGGCGAAACTCCCTCAAGGATTCGTCGACGTTTTTGACATCGCCATCATCGAACAACAGCAGTGTTGATAGTGACGAAGCTGCTGGCTTATTAGGTGCGCTTTGCGAGTCAGAAGGAACAGTCCCTGCCGAGAGCCTCTGCACTAGTCCTGCTAATGAAGACACTAAAAATGGTTTTGATCAGGTAGATCTATACTCATGGCTACTAATTTGAGATCACATTTGTGCATTTTCAGTATCGTCGCGCTAATGGGACAAATACTTTTCCAGCCGAAGAGTGTCGCCGTCGTCACGGTTTCAGGAGTATCGCTGATGAAGTTGGGGTGCGTTGATTGTTCTACAAAGTTCAACTATTTCAAAAATTATTCACGGCAAAAGCTGTATTTTGTATTCCCCTTATCTCCATTTGTTTTTCACTCTCATAATGAGGAATTGATGCTGGTGATACTTCAGATTTTTCCAGTAAAAAATCAACAATGATTATTCCTAAAATCAGAAATTGCAAATCAAAACAGTAAAGGTCAAAGCAGCGTATCTGATGGACAAGCATCTTCAGTGTATTTCAATTTCTGTTTATCTTTTTTGCTCAGTTGTTTTGATCTTAGTGTTGTACATCAGCTTTGAGTTGTCATCTATGTTACTGCTTCTTTCTTTACCAAACCAATCACTGGTAACAGTTTCAGCTGTTTTGCTTCAAAGTGCGCGCGACACGCACGCACTTCCGGAAATCACATTTTCTTGGTTTTCATCTCTAGTCGAATGGTTTTTTTGCTTGCGTATGATAAATATTTAGACATTAGAAGTAACTGAGCTGAACGCTGAGGTGATGTCTTCGTGTATGGGCGTTTTATGCGCATGTGGGCGCAAAGTCCGCAGTAAAATCCGTTGTCACAATTTTACAAATGAACTATGCATTACTCAGCTGGTCCAGAAGGTCATGTAGCTGCGAAAAGCTCCCAGTCGCGACTTTCCCGATCCACTGCCTCTAACAGGGGAACGTGGAATCAAGTCAAAGTGGCCTTTCCAGATGAGACCCATACTGCTTTGAAGAGTATTAAGCGGTGATTCCAAATCTGCCTTCCAAATCTGCCAAGCGTCTCTGGACGCCGAGTTATGACCGTTCTTCGGAACGAAAAATGAATGCGGAATTTAGGTAAAATTGATTGTTACAATCTTTCCAGCGCTCAGATGAAGCAATGTTAAGTAATAGCATATTAAATAAAATGTATCTGATACTTGACACTGGACCGTTTGAGCTAATTTGGGCGAATTCGCTTCAGTTTTGCGTTCAATTTTTTTGACCTGAAAAACGAGCTTAACTCGGCGTCCAGAGGCGCTTGGCAGATTTGGAAAGCAGATTTGGAATCACCGATTGAAGCTCTTCAAAGCAGAATGGGTCTCATCTGGAAAGGCCACTTCGACTCAACACGGTTCCCTTGTTAAGCTTCTTTGAGCGCTGAATGATATTTTAATCATAAAGATGGAGACATCAGATACATTGCTAGGTTGTGTATGCTGTGTGGTTTGATCAATTGTTCTTCTAGTTATTGTGGTTAAACTTGATTGTTTGTATGTTAGATGGGACGAAGAAGTTGAATTCCATAGTGATTGACGATATGTCGAACTTTTATAGATTCCGTTTTCAACCGCGGTCATGGTGATACTGCTGGCAATTCCCACTCAGCGAATGCGCAGTATTTGTATAAAACTGCTGCGAGAAAAAGGTGCGTTTCATGAAGTGATCAGCATCAACCTGTATTAAAACTTGCAGCTCTAGACTGGAATTTGCCACCGCAAGTTTATTACATTATCATAATATTGGCTTTTGCCGTCATCAGGGATCTGGTTACAATCGCATATGCCTGTAATATCTGTATCATGCTAAATGTCTTTTTTCAGGTTCGTAAAGCACACAAAGCATACAAGCGCCGTTAGAGACTCCCAGTACGAAGGACATCTGCAAATGCCGAACCCCTGTCGTGGACAAACTATAATGTGGACCCTAAAAAGATGATTGTTCCTGACGCCAACGTCCAAAAATATCTCTTTGACGCCAGTTCGCGCTGCTTGGACAGCCCGTAAAAGATCACGTTCTCTTTCTGCGAAAAAGAAAGCCATTCTGGTCACACTTTGAGACATTTTTTTTGTAAATCCATCACCTCAAGGATTCTATCGAATTTTCTCTCAACTGCTTTGATTGATCTCTTCTAATTCACTACCTGCCTCACGTAAGCATCATTTTCTTTCTTCCTCGAGTTCACAATGGTGCCTTCATGATATTTGTTCACTCGCATTTATTTTGTCAACCATCCTTCATTTTGCTAGTTAACTCGCATTTATTTTGATACATTTCTATACATTATTACATTCACTACATATACATTATTACATTTATTTTGCTAAGATGAAATCATTTTGTTTACGTGTGTGTCATGTTATTATGAAAATTTTTCTACACCTACATCTGTGATAGCCCTTCAAAGGGAGTAATAAACTTTTTTTGAATTTCAGGGGGGGGGGGGGGACTTCGTTTTTTTCCAACCAAAAGCCACCTCGTGCCGAGCCCTGACCGCAAGCCTTCAAATCAGAAGCGCTCCGCACGTATGGAAGGCAGAATAGGAAAGATGGCATGCATCTCATTTCAGACGGTCACTTTAACTTAACATCGTTCCTTTGAAAGGATCCGCATTAATCTTCAATCAGAGAATCACGCGCCATTTCGCCACATTCCGTTTGCTCTACGAAGCAACTCTGGTACCTTCCCTTCGTTGATTCGAAGTCAATCGTTGCAAATTAGATATCATTCTATGTTTCTTGACGCTTGCTTTACCTACTCAGACAATTGCATCGGAAAGTTCGCGGCCTCAAAGCGTGCTACATGGCGTGCCGCGGCCCTTAAAATTTCAGCCGCGCACGCCGCGGCCCATGTATATTTTACCGGGAACGCCGCGGCCAAAGTTAAAATTGGAAAGAGCTTATCGGGAGAGTCGCGGCCCAATCAACTCACTCGGCGTGCCGCGGGCCTTATCAAAGGCCGCACTTCTTACATGCTGTAGCTTAAGGCGCAACCCGCGCGAAGTACGCCGCAGCGATAGGGCTACCCTAAGTGTTTGTGGCGGTGGTAATCGCTTCTCGGGTGGGGTTGTGTGACAGTTGAGTTTATATGCTCACGAAACAAACTACAGCAATCGGTTGAGTGTTATCGACGACAGTAGGTGATGTTGACGGAGAGCCAACAAGCTCAATCTGTACTGTCGTTGTCACGAAAGACAGGCCAAAATTTTTTCACTCTTCCTAGCCTCACAAGCATGATAATCGGGTCAACTATCGGGCGCTTACAGGATGCGCCGCGGTCACTTACCGGGTCCAATATCGGTTCATATCGGGCAGCTCGCGGCATGGATGATTGGTGGCCGAGCAAGCACCCGCGAACTTCCCGATGCAATTGTCTGTGTATGTCTCATTTCTTGCTGACAACTTGCTGAGCTCCATTCTATGATACAAACGAGAAAGCTGGCAAAATTCTGATTTTGAAGTCTTTTATTTACTTTTCAACCAGTGTTTTAGCATTCGATAAATTTTGCTTTCTATGAAGACAACGTCGTCGAGCTTGCTTCTTTGGTTGTGGTATAGTTTTGATGAAAAGCTTCAAAAAGTGCATTATCGTTCATAATTTTTTGGAGTGTTTACGCAACCATTTTTTAAGGTTTAAAGCCAGCGTCCGGGCAAAAAGTCGATTTTGAGATTTTGTGCTTACCCGGTCCTAATCACTATGCCGAATGCGAAAATCCACATTGGAAAGGGCGAAAACGGCAAAAAAAAGGGCTCTAATGCATGAGGGAAATCAGAAGTGAGCGGGGTTTTCCCCACTGCGGATTCACGCTTCAAGCTTCCGGAGCGATCCTCTCGGTCCCGATTTCAAGTCATGCATTTGCACGGCCTGTGGAGATCTCAGAGCGCTAACATTATTGAGAAAATCGCTTTAGAAGCTGGGACCGCGAAATTCACAATGAGGAAGACCCCGCCCACTTTTGATTTTCCTCCTGCGTTAGAGCCCTTTTTCGCCGTTTTCGCGCTTTCCAGTGTGGATTTTCGAAATCAGCATGGCGAATAGGCCCGGGTAAGCACAAAACCTCAAAATCGAGTTTTTGCCCGGAGACTGCCTTTAAGAGGTTCCATAGAATGATAACAGAGCGAGTGAATTGTCGCTGGAAACAGAAAGCAGATGGGTTTGGAAGTTTGGAGAATGTATCAAAATTCGGATCAGCTTTGAAGTGCATTTTGAATTTCAAAAAGATTGCTTGCATCACAAACATGAGAACAGAGCAGGTCCGAGCGCACAGCATGGAAAAGAAAGTGCCCCGCCCGTGCGAAGGCTTCTTTATTATGCTTACTGTACCTATACGATGGTAGGTCAGCAGTCAGCATCTCAGTGTGTTTGTTTACTGCAAAATGGGTTTGTCTGACATTTTTAACGAGATGTCATCGTTAATATAGTACATCTCAACAACGACTCCCTCCCCCCCCCCCTCCGCCCTGGCACGACACGACCTCCCCCCCCCTCGTTGTGGCGTGCCACATCCCAGGCTTAGCCCTGGTAAAGCTTTGATTTGGATGACATTATTACCATATCTTGGCTGCGAGGAAAGAGAATCAATATGAAGCAGTTAATGTGAAAATATTCAAAATAAAAGCTTTAGAAACAAAACATGAAAATTAGACATTGAAAGCCTCACAGCGATGCGAAATTTTGCGAAGTAGAGAAAAAGATGTTTTTAAATGTGTGCTTATCAATGGCTAATAGCTCAGCGGATTAGTCGGCTTTAGCAATGACCGAAGTAACGTTTAGCTCAAGGACCAATATAATGTAACTCACTCTCTTTCTCGTAAAAACATTAACGCAGAAAAGGTTACGACTCTCATTTTCACACTTTGAAACGAAGCTGACAACAAAAATTGCACAAATAACCAAAAGAAGCTAAAATCCATATTGATGCGACCATTCAGACTTTTTACACGGAAGGATACAGGTCACACTATTGCTCAAAAGTTTACTTTTATAAAAAATGTCTTAATTTTTGCTCTTTTACTCACATTCTCGCACGCGCTAGCCGTGAATACTTGGCACTGCAGCTCTCTCATCTTCCGCTTTCTTCGCATCACTGTGTTTCTTTTCAACATCTACGCGCTTATTCCTTTTTGGGAGTGCTTAGAGGTATAGTAGGCGTCATCCGTCTAGTCACCTAGGTGCGATGTCTGTTACTGCACAAAATTTTGAAATTCCGGATGAGGTGCTGGGCTCCCGCCTTGCCGTACTTGCACCAAATGCGCA